AGTATTTCAAAATTTGTATTACCCAGTCACTTAGAGTCATAGAATCACACAGCACAGAAGAGGCCCTTCAGCCCATCACATCTATCCACAATAGTCCTACTTTTCAGCACTTAACTCTCAATCTTCATGCTATGATACTTCAAGTGCTCATCCAAGTATTTTTCAGAGGCTTTGATGTTTCCCATCTCAACAACTGTCCCAAGCAGTGTATTCCAGACCTCCATCACCCACTGGGTGAAAAAAGGGTTCCCTGCAAATCTCCTGCCTTTCACTTTAAAATTGTGCCCCTTTTTGTTAATCCTTTGACTAAGGGGAACAGCTGTTTTCTATCCATCTTCTTAACCTTATACTCATCAACCAGGTCCCATTTCTGACTTCTCAGCTCTGACAAACACAACCCCAGCCAATCAGTCTGGCTTCATTGTTAAACTGCTCCAATCCAGGCAACATTCTGGTGAGCCCCCTCAAACTTCATCTACTGTCCACCTGCAAACAGTTTCACCTTGTTTACTCTATCAAAGCAATTCATCATTTTGATAACCTCCTGTCCTTTAAGGAGAACAGTGCCAGCCTCTCCAGAACCTCCACAATAATTAAAGTCCCTCATCCTTAGTACCATTCCTGTAAATATTTCTGCACCCTCCCTCTGTCAGAGTTTTAATTATGACCAGTTCTGGGCAGCACACTTTCACAGCAAAGCCCCGGTTTCTCCAGTGTATCTTTGTAATCCTGTTTTCTGGCATTTGACTCTAAACTGTCCCTGGAGCCTAAGTACCTCCTGTTAAGTCCTCATGTCCACAACCGTGCACTGTCATCAGGATTCACTCAGTCAAGAAGTACTGAAAGTTTAAGTCATTCACAGGGCGAGATTCTCATGGAACAAAATGCGAGCAAACAATAAATCATAATGATGACTCTGGTGAAAGCTGTCAGGTAGTTAGTTGGTGATTTCTGATGGCTGCTTCGCAGGAATGCTAATATTTGCACAATAGACTAAAGTGTGTTCAGCCCTGGAGGCAGGAATTGAGACTGGCCACCTGGATTTGTTCATTGAAGCTTTCAGTTTGACCTAACTCTCTTTGTTTGCCCTGTTCTCTCTCCATTGCCTCCTTTGTTGTCTCGCTTTCTCCTTTAAGGAGACCGCTGTGATCATGGTTTATTTGAACTTTCCTCCCTCATTTCTCTGAAACTTCCAAAGTGTTCTCTGCAGCCCACAGCCGGTCTGGTTTTGTGCTATTGCTATTCTCTCAGTGTAAGTAGTGGATGGGTCATAGGAATGAAACAGCTCCTGCTGTCTGTGTAAATACCTAACTGCAGTGGGCTTGAGGACCCAGCCCTGTCAGGAATAGGCAGGGTTTCCAATCCAGTAAAACCAAAACTGCTCAAAATGATTAGCATGTTGAAAACAGAAAGAGCAAAGATGTACATTTATATGTCATCCATATCAACCTCCAGATGTTCCAAAGAGCTTTATAGCCAAGAAGTCACCATAGTAATGCAAGAAATGAGACAAAAAAATTACACACAGCAAATGCCCACAGTAACAATGTGATAGTGGTGTTGCCTAAGATTAAAATGATGTCCAGGGCCCAGAGGGAATTTCCCCTTTTCCCTCTGAGTATAGCAGTGTGAGATTGTTCACTTCCACAGGGGAGGGCAGATATGGTCAAGATTTAACATCTCATTTGAATGACAGCCCTTCTGACAGGAGAGCACATCCTCATTACTGCACTGGGAGTCTCTGGCTTGGGGTTTAAACCCACAACCTTCTGACTCAAAGGTGAGCAGTTTGTTATTACTGAAATGGGAGTTGAGTGTTACTGACAAGGCCAACATTACTTGCCGGTCCCTATTTGCACCTTGACAAGGCGGTGGTGAGTCACCTTCTTGAACTGCTGCAGCCCATGCGATGTTGGGACATCGCAGTGCTTTTTGGGATGGTATTCCAGGAATTTTACCCAGTAACAGGGAAACAGCATCAAATTACGATAGTGTCTGGCTTGGAGGAGAGCTTTCAAGGGGTGGTGTTCCCAAACATCTGTTGCCCTTGTCCGTCCCACTGCTAGAAATCATGGGTTTGGAAAATGCTGTTGGAGGCACCTAGGTGAGTTCCTGCTGTGCTTCGTGCAGAGGGTATATCCTGCTGTTACAGTGTTGGTGCTGGATGAGGTGCCATTCAAGTAGGTAGCTTTGTCCTGGACAGTATCAAACCTCTTGAGTGTTGTCGGAGCCAAAGACAAGTGGGGAGTATTCCATCACACTCCTGGCTTGATCCTTACAGATACTGGACAGGATCTGATGAGACAGGAGGTGAGTTACCCTCTACTGAATCTGGAGCTTCTAAATGCTGTTGTAGCCATCATCTTCCTACAGCTGGTCTAGCTCAAGTTCTGGTCAATGGTAACCCCCAGGATATTGGTGGGGAAATCAGTGATGGTCATGCCACTGAATAATAAAGGGTGATCGTTCAATTCTGTCTTGTTGTAGATGGTCATTGCCCAGCACTTGTGAATCAGGAATGTGAGCTGCCAGTTACCAGCCCAGGCTAACTGAAGAGTCCTAGCCACTGAGCCATCATTGACACCAAGCAGCACTTGTGGTGATGAGAAACAGTTGTGCTATAGGTTGACTGCTTGTGTTAAATGCAAATAGTATAAGTGGCAGTACCATAATACAATCTCAACTGTTTCTTCATTTTTCTTGCAAATTATTTTATTGAAATCAAGACTCAAAAACTGAGCATGTTGACCCATTGTTATCCTGGACATTATCACTGGGATTAGAACAGACAGATGTTTGATGACTGGCACAGACACAATGGGTTGAAGGGCCACTTTCTGTGCTGTGAATACGTTGTGTCTCTATCCTCACCTCTCTCAATCTTTCGAACTCCTGTTATTTGTAATTGTGTGTACTTACCTATCTTAACTAGAAATTTACAAAGGCCTTGAAAAAGCAGCAATCAGCTTAAACACTGGAGTGGCTGCTGTATGTGTCCTATTCACAGGATAATGTACAAAAACCCCTAAACCTGTGAGCACCAATAGTTTGAAGGACAGGGCAGCAGGTCCCTTCACACACCATCAGTTCTAATATTCTCTCTTCCCCTTGAAATCACACACTGGTAACTAACAGCTGTGCCTCAGATAGTCCTGTCTCATTCCTTTTCTCCAGCAGTTGGGACTTTTCGCAGTTTAGCCTTGCTAGAACAGCGGTGGAACAGCCTGCACCTTATCCTAAAATCCTTGGCTGAGCTGTGACAAGTGGAAACACTCCAGGAGTATACAGTACCACATCCAAGCTGTTACTTGCAAGCACGTTTTCTAAGCTACAAGGATTTACACTTGCTCTTGTTTAATTTCACATTATGCTGGGTAACCTTTCACACTGTTACAAAACTGTCCAGCAAGGAATTTGGGGCTGGTTGCTTCCAATGTCAAATAGAATGGAAACAGTTTTTTTTTTGTGTAAATCTGGAACGTCACCTCCCGGCACAGTTTCATGTTTAAAATCATGTTTCAGTTCATTCAAATTATTTTTATTCATTCTTTCATGGAATATGGGTATTGATCTCTAGACCAGCAATTGTTGCCCATCCCTAATAGCCCTTGAATAGCATGACTTGCTTGACAATTTCAGAGAGCATTTAAGAATCAAACACATTGCTATGAGTCTGAAGTCACATGTTGGCCAGATCGAGTAAGGACGGTAGATTTTTTGCCTCAAAGGACATGAGTGAATTTAATGACATTTGAGCATAGTTGCAATGGCCCCCTTTACCGAGATGACAGCTTTCAATTTCAGGCGATTAATTACAGGCAGAGGGACTAGCTGCAAGGTTAGGTCATTCAGCCCTTCCAGCCTGCTGTGCTATTCAATAACTGTCTGTAACCTCAAATGTACATTCCCACCTGCCCATTAAATTCCCTAGCATCGCTCGCTCAGCCATTTCAGAGGTCAAGTAAGAATCAAGTACCCAAGGTCTGGAGTCACATGTAGGCCACACAGAGTGAGGATAGCAGATTTTCTTCTCTAATAGATTTAAGGTAATGGGTAGGAGGTTTAGAGGAGATGTGGGGCAAAATATTTTCACCCAGAGGCTGGTGGGAATCTGAAACTCACCATCTGTAAAGCTGGTCAAGGCAGAAACCCTCACAACATTTAAGAAGTATTTAGACGTGGCCTTGTGGTGCCAAGGCAAACAAGGATACGGGCCAAGTGCTGGAAAATGGGATTAGAATAGTTAGGTGGTTGCTTTTGACTGGCACAGACTTGGTGGGCTGAAGGGCCTTTATCCGTGCTGTAGACCTCTATGACTCCACTAGCTACCAAGGTGGAGTTTGAACCCACGTCCCTAGAGCATTAGCCTGATTCTCTGGATTACTAGCCTAGTAACATTACCACCAAACCACTGGCTGTCCATTTATATACATCATGTGACAGTGCTGTATGTAAAGTGTTGGTCAGTAATGATTTAAGAGTGCTGGGCTTTACACAGGGATACTGACGGATATACTAACAGACAATAGCAAGCGTCCTCTCTCTTTCTCCGCTCTTACATGCTTGTGCCCTTTGAGGTGAGACAGATTGCACTAGACAGCCACATCACTCCTGTCTCCTTCTGACGTTGGCCTCCAATCACCCAAGTAAACACATCCACATGATTTTACAGGGCCCCCTGGAAAGTCTACAAGGAGACCATCAGTGATGTAAAGCAGTGTAATCAATAGCTGAACTCGCTCTGTGTGTCAGACCAACTGTATGAGGCAACATTAATTAGCCCGCAAAGTCTGTAACTCCCCGAGGCTAGTGGAGGGTGGGGATGGTTTGTACCCACTGGGAACTGATTGTTCTGATAGCACAATCCAGCTGGCTAATTGCAGGTATTCCTCCAAGTGATTTGCTCAGGTGTACAATGGTTTACAAATTCTCAGTGCCTAACGTGCTGAAACCCACTTCTTCAAGAATGACCTTTGTCTTGTTTGTACCATTGCTCACAGGGGTGCAGAGGCAGATTGTGCATTGTTTGGAGAAGATAGCAGGAATCGTCCAGGAACAATACTGCGAGCTGCTCACTCGACCCGATGACCGGCAGAGGAGCTGCCACCCAGAACCATGCCCAGCTCGGTCAGTACCCAACCATGGAGGGCGAGGATTCCTGAAGACTGCTTTGTCTTGAATATTACTCTGTTAAGCCCATGCTGCTTTAACCTAGCTCTTTGACTGGAAATATAAAATGCATGTTTTTTTTTCCTTTTCAGATCACTCCCTGGCCACACTTTCCTAATCCCAGTAACCCCCTCCAATCGTACAACTCTTTGAGATCTCTACCCTCCAACCAGTTTGACATTTCCAGTGTAATTTCTTCCACTTTTGACAGTTGTGCCTTCAGCAACTTGGGTCTTAAGCTCAAGAGTCTCCTCCCTGAAACCCTCTGTCTCTCCAAACCTGGCTTTCCTCCCTTGAGACGCACTTTAAAAACCGATCTCTTTGACCACAAGAATTTGGCCACCTGACCTAATGGCCTGGATTTGCACCCTGTGGACAGGCAGTAGGAGTCAAGAAAATTCCCAGCTTGGCCCTCCTCGGGGAAATGTGCCTGCTGGGCTGGGGTTTTCACTGCCGGGAAGTGGGTGCTGCCTGATGTCAGGTCTGTCATCCCAGCAAAATATTTGGGGAGCAGCCACAGGAACTAACCAGTGCAAAGGTGGGCTGTCTATGTTTCTGGGAACTTCAATCCAGTTACAATAGTAACAGGACAGCCCCCAAGGTCCTCACTCCTCAACCCTCCCAAACACTCACTGTAGCCCCAACAATGCCACTTTGTTATCCCCAGCCACCCACTATTGCCTCATGCCAGGCTACCCCCCGCCTCCCCCCAACACATCCCTGATGTCCTTATAACCCAATACCAGGCTACTGTACTTCAATGCCTATTCATTCACTGTGGATGGTTTATGGAGAGTGGATGCTATATTGTGAGAAAAGAAAATCATTCATTCATGACTTCCCATTACCTTAAAAAGATTTCTCCTTTTTGCTACAGCCTAATAGACATGTCAATTATCCCCCCTTTAAAGTATCGGTAGGTGAAACTACAAACACTTGGGACCTTTAGCCTTACATAAATAAACACTGGGAAATTGACAGCGGAGATCAGAGAGGCACAGCTGTCCATCAAGTATCAGGTAGTTCAGCAGAGTAAAGATGTATGAGCTCTCAGCACTGTATTAGTTTCCTTAGAAACATTTATAGAATTGTACAGCCCGTTCTACTTGTGCAAGTTCTTCGACAGAGTTGGCCTCTCCAAAGCCCGTAAACAAAATCAGACAGGAAGCTTCAGGAGATGCCTTCCCTTCAATCACATGGAGCTGGTTGAACATAGCACTGTGCAGGCCTTGGACTATTTCCTTGTAGAATTACAATCGACATTCCATTTTACAACCTGGGACCTCAATTTCCATGTTAAAGAATGCCCACACCTGATGAAGGCTGTGTACCTCAGACCCTGAGAGGTAGCAGCACGAATGTTGAGAGGGCTAGTGAGGGGTCGGACCCCAGTTTGAGGCCATTAGCATGGAGTGAGATAACAAGGTGTAGCGCTGGATGAACACAGCAGGCCAAGCAGCATCAGAGGAGCAGGAAGGCTGACGTTTCGGGCCTAGACCTCTAGGTTTCTCTAGATCTCCTGATTTAAACTCAGGAGTCACTGCCTCAAACAACAGTACCTCCAGAATGAGCAAGGTCGGTGCTACTCACCAAAACTATGTAAACTGTGCAGCTGTATCTTGAATCTGTATTCCCCAGGGTACAACTCACTGAAAAAATAGGAATCTTGACCCTCATTCTGGTCGTAGCCTGCAAACAATAAGGAGCGAGTGTCAGTTGCTGACTAGGCAGGGTTTCTGAGGGCGGACTCTCACTGAGAAGCCTGTCTTTGTTTACACAGATGGTGGGTTGGTGAGTGGCAGGCATGCTCCTCATCCTGCGGAGAAATGGGAACCATGAAGAGGACGGCTCTCTGCATTCAGAGTGTGGGGCTGGATGAGCAGCGGGCATTACAACCCTCTGACTGTCAACACCTGCCCAGGCCTGAAACCACCAGCCCTTGCCACAGGGAGATCCCCTGCCCTTCAGACTGGAGTGTGGGCAGCTGGTCAGAGGTAAGAGGATGAGGGTTAAATGTCAGGGCAGTCATGCTAAGGCAGGAGGTTTTTTAAACAGGCGGAGATAATGATTGACAGCCAATTAGATCAACAAGGAAATGTCTGTCTTGAGTTCCTCGAGTCTGGTTTCAGTTAGCTCCGTCTTGTTGACCTGACCCTTTAAGCTTTGTCTTGTATGAACCTCATAAATGTTGTGCTTGTGAAACTTTAGAAGTTCTTGTTACCTTTTTCTTAAAGGGACAGTCTCACTGGTTGCCATCCAGAAGCCATCAAACTATAACAAAGGACCTTGATGCACTGTATTCTGTTTTATTGTATTTATCCATTCTCAGGATATGGGCATTGCTGGCAAGGTTGTCCACTCAGTCAGTGGTGGTAGCAGTTTGCTGCAGTCCATGTGGAGGAGTTGTTTCCACAGCAATGCAGTGATATGATGCCATTACAGTGAGCAGCTAAGACTCAACCACACTAGTGTGGGACTGGAGTCACACAGAAGCCCTGATCCAGTAAGAATGTCAGGTGTACTAACCCGAAAGAGACACTGGTAACCCAGTTAGGTTTTTAGTGATTATCCCACACTGCTGTGGCCACTTTTACCAATAACAACATTCTATTGCCAACTGTGTATAACTGGGCTCAAATGCTGAAACTACTGTTGGTGGTGTTGAAGCCAATTTTCTCTGGGCTGTTCAATCCCAGGTCTGAATACTGAAGCAGAAACAGAATCCCTGCACTGCCCTGCCCCTTTCAAAGGCCTACAAATGTGTTTTAACTTTGCTGATTCTAATTTGCGCAACTTATAAATGTCCGACTTACACATGCTTGTGCTTTCGAATATGATTTCATACAGGGGTGTAATTTTAAAGGCCCGACATACGAACATTTCCTATACTTAAAAACAGCCACGTCACAGTGTCCTGTATCGTGTTCTGACTTGCGTACAAATCAACTTGTGAATGGACTCAAGGACAGAGCATGTTTACAGCCCAGGGACTGCCTATATTTGGGAATATCAGAAAATGTGTAAAATATTAATTGAGATTCTGGGACACATGACCTCACTGAAAGTTAGTTATTGCCTCACTGCTGGTGGGAGCAAGATTTATAGTATCACTTCCTGTTGGTTTGCTGAGTGAGTTACAGACCTGGGATCCAGAGCTTGCACCAGCCAATGTTATTGAACTCTCTGTTAATAATGAGCCTTACTGTGGAAACAGTGACACTGATACTGATCCCAAACAGAATAGAGAATAGACTTCATGCTTTTACATAAGTGGGGATTTAGAATAATCCATAACACAACATATAATACCCCTGTTTTGAGGTATGACTAAGTTTTGACAGAGCTAATGACGAGCTTGGTCTTAATCATTGCTTGTATTTGCAGGGTATTTTATTTATCTTGAACTGTACCATTCTTAAATCATTTTGAATCACCCAAATTGCATAGAATTAAGTGTAATTAACAGAATAGAACTAGGCCATTGATCCCGACACACCCAATGCTATTGTTTATACTCCACCTGAGCCTCTCCCCATCCCAGCAATGTAAACTCCTAATCCATTCTCCCTCCAGTGTTTATTTAGCTTCCCCTTAAAAATATTCAGACTGTTGCCTGATTTACTAATTTTGCCAGTGAGTTCCGCACTTCCACCACTCTCTTTAGGGAGTGAAGGTCTCCCTACATTTTTTTTCATTCATTCGTGGATGTCGTAGGCTGGGCCGGCATTTATTGCCCATCCCTAGTTGTCCTTAATCTGAATACAGATCACTGTCAGTAGTTTTGAGGCCAGCGACTGTGGTTCAGTGAACACAGTGCTCAAAAGTATTTGTTTGCATGTGTTTCATTCACTATTCGCCTGCTAATGTCATTTTGTTTTTACTGTGGAGCAACCAGGACCAGACATAGGCCATTTGGCCTCCTCAGCCTGTTCCGCTATTCAATAAGGTCACAACTGATCTGTTTGTGCTGGGATAGTACAGTTGATCAGACACGTTCCTTATTCAGTCCAGAAATCCCTAGAGCAGATCGGTTAGGGCAGCTCTTGAGAGGGGGATGTGGTGGGGTGGGGTTGGGAGGGGAGGTGGGTTTATGGGGATGGGCTGAATGATGACAGTCACCATTGACTTTAGAGCGTGCACAGCTGACTTATCATTGGGTGTGCCCTGAAAGCATTAAGATGCAGCAAATTTTAGTTGCAAATATTACTCAAATAAAAATAAAATACTACAGATGCTGGAAATCTGAAACAAAAACAGAAATTGCTGGAGGAACTCAAAGGTCTGGCAGCATCTATCAGTCATACCAGACTCAAAATGTTCAATTCTGTTTCCCTCTCTCCACACATGCTGCCAGACCTGCTGAATTTCACCAATGTTGCTACAAACTCTATTCACTAAACGATTGGTGTTGAATGTAGGCCTGAGGGAAGTAGAATCATAGAATTTTAATGCATTTGGAAGGCTATTCAGCCCAATGTGTCTGTGCTGACCCTTTGAAACTGCTCATTCTACTGTTCTCTCAGGTCTCTGAGCACTTTGGTGATCTTTATTTACAGAATTCCACACAAATGACAAACAAGAACATTATTGTGCATTCACTCTCAGTGAATCCTTTGAACTTGGTTGTTTTGCCTCTAGAATTTTCCCTCGTATGAGTTTAACTGTAAAATGATGACCGTTGCTGAAGGTTTTATGTCTCAGTTTTAACGTTTGATTTTTTTTCCAGTGCTCTGTGACCTGTGGGGAGGGATTGAGGAGACGTAGTGTCCTATGTTTAAACAACACCAACATGACGTGCAGCTTTGAGATGAAGCCAGCTGCGAAAAGCCAGTGCCAGCTGAAGCCTTGCCCACTGCATAGATCGGGCTTCACACCCCATGACTGGTCGGGCAGTGGGGCTTCCAGCAAAGAACTCTACAACGAAGTGGGTTTCAATCTAAACTTTGGCCCCAGCAGGGCAGTTCAGGAAGACAATTCGAACCAAATTCTTAACCTTGCCAACCCTCATCCATCTGATCTCAATACACCCCTGCCACACCCATCGGAAGATAACAACATAAATAACCACATCGTTGAAGATGATTTCACTGTTCACAGCAGCCAGGATGAGAATTCTGCAAAAACCAATGTCTTTGTAGACGACTTCTATTATGATTATAACTTCATAAACTTCCATGAAGACCTTGACTATGATCCAGAAGACAGGCTTGAAAAGGAAGAGTGGACGGGAGAGGACATTAAACATGATGAAGAGCATCTGGAAATAAATAACATTTCAAACAATGTTTGGGAGAAAATACCTGATGAAAGCCATGATAGAACTATAGATGACACGGGGTCAGATGGGTTGGAGAACGTTGTGTCAACACCCACAACCAATCAAAAACCCGACAGTCAGGAGGAAATAGAAACACCACATAATCCAATTGTAAATTCTACCTCAGGAGCAAACGCAGCGGATATTGAGCTGAGTGAACTTCCTACAGAGTATCTCAGAGTGACAGATGGTAGTCCAATTACAGTGTATGACACGAACAATGAAGATGATGAGGAAGAACTGTATCAGGAAGATGAATTGCTGCCCATTCAAAACACAACGAAGCACAGTGTTAAGGAAATTGCATCTCCAGGTTTTCCATCAACTGATGATGAGAGGAGCATTGATCACACGATCAGAACCCACAGTCCTCATTATCACAGTCCCCCATCAATTACAATGACTACCTCATCAACAAATAACAATGTAAACACCCCCAGTGCTTTCAAATCCTGGCAGCAACACTATCCTGAAGAAAAACAGAATATTACTGACCACAATTTGAGTCATCGTGTTCAAAGTACTACTGAGCAGGGGGGTCCATTTGACATCAAAGTGGCAGGTTATACACATCCAGCAGACAGTAGAGAACAAGGAAAAGGCCAAGAATCAAAGGGGCATATGGATGACATGAAGCAAAATCCATTGGAGGGAGAACGGAGAGTTGAGAAGGATGAGCAGGAAATTGTAAATAAGAAAGCCCACTTCCCCAGCAGTACACTGGGCAATAGCCATTATCTAGGTGATGTGGTCCATGTGGATGACAGTCCATATCCACAGCATGAGACCCATGACCAAGACATTGATGTTATTAATAAAAATCTTAACTCTTGGGAAAGCCTTGGCACTTTCAACTCTATCACTGGAATGTCAACTACAACACCATCATTCTTCATTGATCCAAATGACGTTCCTGTTTTGGAAATGTTACATTGGTCAGTTCACCAAAAACAAACTGAAGCTAACTCACCAGGAAGGCATCATGTAGGCAGTTCTTCCGAGTTACCAGGAAACATCATCCAGCCAGGTGACTTTGAGTATGATAACACTCGAGCAAATGTGCAATCCCCCAGTCATTCTGTTGCAACACAAACTCCACCTTTATTGGCACCAGTATTAGCCACATCCTCACCCCCAGTGTTCTCAGAAGCAACAGGAGTGTCAACAACTCCAGTGGCTTTCACAGATCAGCCAAATCTGGATCGTCCGCTACAAACTCAGAGTACAAGTGACAGAACCCAATCACACAATTTTCTGCCAATTGAGGTAACCCACTCTGGTCATTCATTTATTCATGCAGTGACTCCACAGTCTAGACTGTCAACAGGATCATCATTGACACCAGCAAGTCTACATCAACAGGGGACACGACTGGGAAAAACTCCATCATCAAGATCTGTAGCAGTGAGCTCCACACGAACTACTACCTCTTCAGGTAAAGGTATCTCCAGACCTAACCTATCAGCAGCTACATCACCAAAACCTACCTCAGCTTTAAGTACATCACTGATATTAACAAAGGAGACTCAACAATCAGCCACCTCCCTCCCTGTGATCATTCCTCAGGCTTCCATTTCTGTGCCACCTGGGATAATTTCAACAACTGTTCATTCCAAAGTAAATGCAAAGGGAGCACCCCTGGTGGATGTGACCAGGTTGAATTCTGAGAACAGAATGGATGAAGGCGCTGTGAAAATTGGCGAAATAGATCGAGGAGATGCTGAGTTTGATTTCAGTAATGGCTCTCTTCCAGCCACTGTGAGCAACTGGCCATTGGCAGTCCCTGAAATGCATCTCCCAACTGTCTCCAATCGCAAACCTTTGTTAAAGAACACGACGGAGGTTCATGCAGCTTCGACAGTGTCACTGATGGAAACAGCCGCTAATCGAATCTCTGGAGTAAATACAGAATCCAGTGCTTACTGGGTGGTTGGAAACTGGAGTGAGGCAAGTGTCAGAGTTGATCCACAAATCAACAACCTCCAAACTGTTCTTGTCATTCAAGGAATGAACATAGAACAAAGGAACAGAGGGAGCCATTCAACCCTTTGAGCCCATTCTGCTGTTTAATTAAGTTATAATTGACCTGTATCTTAGCTCAATCCGGCCACTTTAGCTCCATTTCCCTTAAGACCTACGTCTAGCAAAATAATTCTATTGGTCTTAGATTTGAAATTATTAATTAACCATCAGTATCTACTGCTTTCTATGAGAGACACTTGTTTAAAGAAGTTTTTTTCTAATTTCACTCTAATTTTAGTTAGAGGTTTTTCTAACTTCCCTAAATGATCTTTTTTTATTTATTTGTTCTTGGGATCTAGGCGCCACTGGCCGGGACAACATTTATTGCCCACCCTTAATTGCCCTGGAAAACGTAGTGGTGATCTGCCTCCCTGAAGCTCTGTAGCCCTGGGGTTGTAGGAACATCCACAGTGCTATTAAGGAGGGAGTCCCGGGATTTTGACCCAGCGACAGTGAAAGGAACGGCGATCTACTTCCAATGTCAGATGATTCGGAGGGGAACTTATTGGCAGTGACATTATCTCTCTTTGTCCTACCTCGCTGGCACAAAACGTTTCTCTCTAACTATTGTCTTTCAAATCCTAAAAGCCTCAATCTAATCACTCCTTCATTTCCTGTCTTCCAGGATGTCTCATGAACACTATGTCTTTATTTCCTCCACAAACACACTTTTTATTTCATTCATATTTAAATAGCCTCCTTCCATCCTTTTTGTCCTACTTTTCTGGATTGTAGTGGTTTCAAGTCTGTCCACCATTATGTTAGTCTTGTCTCATCGAGCTGTCCTAAGTACCTACAACTCAAGGGAGAGGGGCAGGGTATGGTGCTGAGTCTCAGACTATGGTACGGACCAGTGTGTTCTATAGTTTGACTTTCACGGTTCAACCCAGCTTTCTCCTCCACTCCGATCTATATGCATCTGTCAGTGGGTCGCGCGTAGATTTGGAAAGACAGAGATGGGCTCCCACAGCCAACTGAATAAAACAAAATGTACCTACAATCTGAGATAGTAGGAACTGCAGATGCTGGAGAATCCGAGACAACAAGGTGCAGAGCTGGATGAACACAGCAGGCCAAGCAGCATCATAGGAGCAGAAAGGCTGA